TATTTTAAAGGACATCATATATTTCTTGTGACCTCAGTTCTCATAACCACATCTTTCTCATAATATTTTAAGATTCTCCATCTCAAATTATTCTTATCATGGGAGGAATTGCCATTAGGTTTTACTTCAGTACAGAACCTCCCGAGTTATGGTAGTTTGTTATTGGCCATGTGTTTCTAAATAAATATTTAAATTGAAATTATATAGACTTTGGCATGCCTTTATGCCTGAGAAAATTCTATGTTTAAAGAACTGAACACAGCTTTAAAAAATATTCCATGGGATATTTCTGAACAACTTATTTATTGACTTTCTGATTTTTTTTTTCAAATTGTCTCTTGATTATCAGTTATGGAAGTGTGTGGTTTATTTTTATCCTTCACTTCTCATTACGCACATAAAAATTTAAAAATGTGATACTTCAAAGGTAATTATTAAGACTTTTTATTCCTTTTCCTTTTTAAAAAAAAATGTGTCTCAATTCTTGCTTCCAGTACATGGATTAGGTTATGCCTGGTCACCATCAGTCTTAAATATATCTGTGGGAGACACAGTGACGTGGCATTGGCAAGCACATCCATTTCTTAGGGGAATAGGATATAGGGTTTTCTCTGTATCCAGCCCTGGAAGTGTAATTTATGATGGCAAAGGATTTACGAATGGAAGAGAAAAATCTGCATCAGGTATGCTTAGACTTTGTTGCATTTTGTGTCATGCTTCTCTTTCCTAGATATAATAAAGAGATGTTGTATAGATTTAAAATACTTTTGCATAAATGATATGTGTAAATAGTTGGCATTTTATTGCTGTAGTAAAAATGTTGCAGATTTATAAAAATATTATAAATGAATGTAAGCAAGGTATTTTATATATCAGAGATGAGTTCTGATTCAGAAGTATCTTTATTCTGGAATAATCAATTCAAAAAAATATCAAAATAAGCAAAATACAAAGAAAATTGGAGTATGTGTTTTAATCATACCAACTTGGTAGCAAGTAACAAACTTCGGTTGATTGGAATCAGCAAATGAGTATTTCTCCTAAGAGAACTCAGTGAAAGTGTGCCTTTTAAACTGTATGTTTTGTTCTATATATAGCAGTTTGAACTTTTTCTCATGAATACAAAGTACTGTTTGTTTTTCACTGAATGTTGAAGTTTTCTTTAAAATGTGGTAAATTATGCCAGACTGGACATGATTTTCTAGAAAAATTAATGCCGGATCTTGTCTTCCTGGAATGTAATTTCATTATAGAAGATAGTTCTTTTATAGCCAGTGAGTCCTTTCTTTACTACTTCCTGTTGAAATATCACATGCATGAAAAATAAGAATCCTGTCATCTGCATGTGTGTATAAATGATCATTTGAAATTTCTTTTGGAGGATGCGTTAATTGCTTGTGTTTATTACGTATGATCTTATTTTATGGCAGGTTCATTTTCTTACCAATTTACTTCACCTGGAACCCATTATTACAGCAGCGGGTATGTTGATGAGGCTTGCTCCATTTTTCTCCAAGGAGTCATTAATGTTTTACCAGCTGAAACCAGGCACATTCCCCTGCACCTGTTTGTGGGTAGCGCCGAAGCCACATATGCTCAGGGTAAGAGGGTTAGAGATGGAAACCATCTTTACTGTTTACTCCAGTGACCTAGGGTGCATGTGACCCTTTTGGAGTAGGAAGCAGATGACTGGGTATAACCTGGCTTCTGTCTCTGACCAGCTACATGACCTTGGATAGATCTGGACAGTTCTGAGGCTGGAATCTATTCTATAAAATGAGGCCCATGTTAATGTTGTCCTGCCATTCTCCCAGAATCCTTCTGTGCCTCAGATGAGATGTAGCATGAAGAAATTTTGACACTCTGTATGTGCCCCCCAAAATATATCAAAATGTGAGATGATGTTATTGTTTTGCTTTCCCCATAAGACCTGGCCTTAGACAAACTGAAAAATAAATTAATTTTTATATTCACTCTTCTCTCTTTACTACACCACCTTTGTCCAGGTCTTTATTTTAACTTTGTACTGCCTGAGCCCCTCTTGTCATTAAAACAAAACCAAAAACAATTTTTAATAGAATATAAACCACCACCATTAAAATAAAGAGTAATGCAGTCTGAAAACAGTTCTTGTTTTAGAATATTATCCGTGACTTACAGGCAGTTCTTTTGCCTAAAGGACCTGTGAATTTGCACTTGGGGAGCTCTGTGGCAGGCTGCCTAGCAACAGAACCCTTGTGTGGCCCCAACAATACCAGGGTTAAAAATTCAGATGGATTGGTCTTTGAGCTTTCAAGTTGTTTTTCACCATCTATAAACAACATTAGTCCATCTGCTGGAACACGAAATGAATTGATAACAATTACTGGACATGGCTTCAGTAATCTCACATGTGCTAATAAGGTAAGAATATAAAGATCTCCCGTATACTCAATAAAAGGAAAATGTTTCATCCACAACCTCATAATTTAATTTCTAACAGCTTTATTACAATATAATTCATATACCATATGATTCACCCATTTAAGGTGCATAGTTCAGTAGCCTTTAGTACATTCAGAGTTGTGCATCCATCACCACATTCAATTTTAGAACATTTTTATTACCCCAGAAAGGAACCCCTAATCCTTAGATATCACCATCAATCTCTTCAACCCTCCCAGCACTAAATAACCACTAATCTACTTTCTGTCTTTATGTATTTGCCTATTCTGGACCTTTCTTATAAACAGAATAATATACATGGTCATTTGTGACCAGCTTTATTCACTAAACATAATGTTTTGAAAGTTCAACCATGTTGTTCCATGTTTATCAGTACTTTGTTTCTTTCTTTCTTTTTTTTTTTTTTTTGATGCATTCAACAGCTCCTGGTGTAATGAAGAATGATTTCCCATAATGCCTAAGTATTTTTTATTATTATTATTGTGTTCAGTTAGCCAACATATAGTACATCATTAGTTTTTGATGTAGTGTTCAACGATTCATTAGTTGCATATAACACCCAGTGCTCATCACAACACATGCCCTCCTTAATACCCATCACCTCGTTACCCCATCCCCTCATCCCCCTCCCTTCTGTACTTCCTTTCTTTTTATGGCTAAATAATATTCCATTATATAATATACACATTGTATTCATCCATTTACCAGTCATGGGCATTTAGATTATTTTTAACTTTTTGACTGTTATGAATAATGTAGCTATGAACATTCATGTGTGGTCATAATTTAGTTTTAAGATTAATCCAAGAGATGTCTTAATCAGCCCCCAAAATTATTTTTATGAATAAAAAAGTTTGCACAAGATTAAATTTTTAAAATTTGGTTGTTGTTAATATAAAATTTAAGTTCACACTAGAGTAATGTATTGACTTGTTTCCATATTCATTTTACTTTCAGGTTACAATTGGTAGCTACCCCTGTATTGTAGAAGAAAGTAGTGACAGTTCGATTATATGTCATATTGACCCTCAAAACTCAATGGATGTTGGCATCAGGGAAATTGTCACATTAACTGTCTACAACCTGGGCACGGCTATCAATACGCTGTCCAATGAATTTGACAGGCGATTTGTACTTTTGCCAAACATCGACATGGTGTTGCCAAATGCAGGATCAGCTACAGGAATGACAAGAGTGACCATAAAAGGCTCTGGATTTGCAGTTTCTTCTGCAGGTGTAGAAGTCTTCATGGGTAATTTTCCCTGTAAAATTCTATCAGTAAGTTATACAGTCATCAAGTGTGAAACATCTCCTGCTCCCCAACAGCTTGTGAAAGTGGATCTTCTGATACATGGAGTGCCTGCCCAGTGTCAGGGGAACTGCAGCTTTTCATACTTAGAAAGCATCACTGCTGTTGTAACAAGAATCTTCCCATACTCTATTGAGGGACCTGTAAAAGTTCTTATTGAAGGAGAAGGTTTTGACACTACCTTGGAGGACATTGCTGTTTTCATTGGAAACCAACGGTTCAGAGCAGTAGATGTTAATGAAAATAACATCACTGTTCTTGTGAGTCCCCTCCCAGCTGGACTTCATTCTCTTAGTGTTGTGGTGGGAAGTAAAGGCTTGGCTCTGGGAAACCTTACTGTTAGCAGCCCCGCGGTAGCATCTGTCACACCAGCTTCTGGAAGCATTGCTGGTGGAACTATATTGGTGACCACAGGAAATGGCTTTTCCCCAGGCAATACCACAGTCACTGTTGGGGATGAACCTTGTGAAATTATTTCTGTCAACTCCAGTGAAGTCCACTGCTACACCCCAGCAGGGACAGCTGGAAGGGTCAGTGTGAAGATCTTTGTTAATGCAGTTGCCTATCCACCTCTGTCATTTACGTATGCCTTGGAAGATACTCCACTTCTCAGAGAAGTTGTCCCAAATACAGGTACTCCAATACTTTCCTTTTGTTGTCTTGATACATTATTATCAGTAATATTTATTAGTGTAGAATTGGAATAATGTTTATAAATGATTATTAAGATGTGTTTTTAGACAATCCACTTAACCCAATAAATACATGGGACTTTTCTGTGTAGTTTCCATTTGTAATTATTTTTTGCACATTCTTGGGATAGAATTTTTAGTCAAATTCCAACTTCTGGGGCACCTGGGTGGCTCAGTTGTTAAGCGTCTGCCTTTGGCTCAGGTCATGATCCCAGGGTCCTGGGATTGAGCCCCTCATCAGGGCATTGGGCTCCCTGCTCAGCAGGAAGCCTGCTTCTCTCTCTCCCACTCTGCCTGCTTGTGTTCCCTCTCTCGTTGTCTCTCTGTCTGTCAAATAAATAAATAAAATCTTAAAAAAAAAAAAACAAATTCCAACTTCTATTTTGAAACAAAATCCCCATTAACTTGACCTAAATTTCAAAATGAGGAAGAAAGAGATGGATATCTATGAATTAAAATTGATAATTAATTTATGTCATTAATATTGATAGGCATAGGAAACAACTGTAAAATTCAGAAGTAGGTTACTAGACATTGAGAGTTTTTCTGTATATCTTATTTCCATGAAGCTACAATTGGATACTAACTTATTAACTCAACAGAGTTCTTTTTAAGGAGGTAATTGACCCATTCAGATAGAAATAAAATATTATGAAATAAGATTCACTTAATGATTTAACATAACTCATTTTTTCCAAGCTAAGAATAGATTGAGATGTCTTCTTAATTTTTTGTCATTGTCCTATGCTGTTTCTGGTCATCTTTAAGCTCTTAGAATGCTTATCATCTACATAATGAATTCTAGAGAGGCTGCTATAATGTAATGATGAAACGTGACCTTGATGCCTAGGTTCAAATCTCGGTTCTTCTACTTTACAGTGATGCAACTTTGGACAAAGCTTTTTAAATATTAGTTTCCTTATACATGCAAGTACCTAAGGTTAAAGAAATTCATTTGTATAATGTAACTTCGAATGGCAACTTCAATAAAGAACCAATTAAATGTCAGCCTTTTAAAAATAGTCTTTTTTTTTAGTTTATATTACCAGAAAGTGTGGTCAGGTTTGGGTAAGATGTATTCTCTCCCTTCGAGAAGTTTGTTATTGGAATTTTCTTTGGTACATCAAGTTTTATCATTTAGAAAATTGTGAAAGAGGCAAACATGAATAATAGCAATGACATAGTTTCCCCCATATATTTGTAATCATTGCAAATGATGAACTGGATATTGGCATATGTTTTTATTTCCATGAATCATTTCTGTCCCATCTCTTTCTTTGAATGTGTCTTTCAAACAATGTATTTGAAGATAGAAGACTTGCAGACAAGTGAGAACTGAGCTGTTTTATTTACTAAGGAAAAAAAGTAATAGATCACACTTAGAACAACACTTCCATTTGAAAGGTGAAAATGCTAGACAAAATTAAAAATTTAAGGCCTAAAAAACATTTTTTGGCTCATATCTTAAAACTATTCCTAACATGAAAATCTCATAAATATCTGTGGTCTTTAAAATGACAATTTAAATATCAGTGATCTTTACTATGATCAGTTATATGGTTCTTTTTACTATTGCTACTCGAATTAAAATCAGCCTACTACTTGGTGACTCTGTATGTGTAACAAGTACATTGATTTGTACCTATTCACTTATTATTTAGGTATGTAGGTATTCATTTGGATGACCTATGACAAATTCTTTGTGTTTAATGCCCTCAATACATTTTTGTCAAAAGGAGGAAGGAAGGGAACAGAAGAATTGAAGTACTTTGTTCTATGTACATTTATTCAAGGCACCAACATCAACATTCATTTATAATTCTTTTTTTTATTATGTTATGTTAATCACCATACACTACATCAATGTAGTGTTCCATGATTCATTGCGTATAACACCCAGTGCTCCATTCAATATGTGCATGCCCTCTTTAACACCCATCACCAGGCTAACGCATCCCTCCACCCCCATCCCCTCTAGAACGCTCAGTTTGTTTCTCAGAGTCCATAGTCTCTCATGGTTCGTCTCCCCCTCCGATTTCCCCCCCTTCCTTTTTCCCTTCCTTCTCCTAATGTCCTCCATGCTATTCCTTATGTTCCACAAATAAGTAAAACCATATGATGATTGACTTTCTCTACTTGACTTATTTCACATAGCATAATCTCCTCCATTTATAATTCTTTAAATTAATTCCTTATTTCTGTATATACTGTCTTACATCTAATTATTTACCTATCATAATTTATCAAGTATATATATTGAAAATATTTAAATTAAGAAAACTAATCCATCCTCAAAAGAGTTGCCAATAACAGGGAAGTACCAAAAATAAAAAATAGTAAGCCCCATCCCTAAAATATACTCCAACCCACAACTCCTGCTGAGACATTCATAATTCTTGATTCTAAATCGTCTCTCTTCCCTTGTTTCCTCTTCTCCACTAGCCTGAACTAACATTAACAATAGCAGTAGAATAAGAATGCAGTGGAATGGATAGAAGGGCTGGGAAAGAATGAATGTTGAGATAACTTATTGTAAATATGCTGTAGATTGTAACATATGGTGCAGCCTAACTTTGTGTTTTGTTAATATTTATATATTTATAATATATATTTATATATATTAGCTTTGAAATACTGGGTATTATTTTGTTTATGGGAGTAATTAGGTGTATCTTTAAATGCATGTATAAGTACTGGAATTTAGATATATTGTTTGCTTTTTTTCTTTTTTTAAAGGTCCACCAGGAACCAAAATTCAAATCACTGGATCTAATTTTGGTATTGATATCTTGGACATTTTGGTAATGATAGACAACATTCTGTGTAACGTAACCATGGTCAATGATAGCGTATTGCAGTGCGTCATTGGAGATCATGCTGGTGGCACTTTTCCTGTTACGATGCATCATAAGACAAAAGGCTTTGCCGCGTCCACAGTTGTATTTGAGTACCCACTTGCTATTCAAAATATTCATCCAAGCCAAGGTAGTCATGAATGTGCAGGAACCTACAGATACTTTGTATTGTTTCAGTAAACACTTACTTTATTTAGAAAAAAAAAATTCTTCAAACAATGCTAAAATTTGTAGTTCCTATAACACATTAAAAATATTTTTGTTCATGCATTGAATATGCAAGCATGTGTATCAACTAATCATCTCTAAATATTCATTTATGGCCTCTATTTCTCTTAGTGTTATATAATTAACTTCAAGTTTAATCCTACTTAAAATGTCCAGATTATATGTGAAAATTTTTTATAAAATCATGTTTAGGCATCACTGACCTGTAATTATGAATACATAAATAAGTATTTTTTTCTATTTGAAAATTATTTTAGTGGTTAAAAACCTTAAGAAAGTATAAGCAATGTACTCCTAATTAAAATAGTAATTTTACATTTATCTTTTGACTACTCTGAAATTCTTTTTTTGACATCTCTCTTAAATAAAGTTTTAGTTCCTAGAAGTAGTTTAAATAAATGATGGGATGTAACATTTATTCAGTAAAGGTTTTGTTGCATTAATATAATATAGTATAATATAAAATATAACTTCAGTTCTAAGAATTGTTTCATTTAGTGTAACTTACTTCCATTTCAGGTTTTAAAATAAATACACAGAGGAGGTTTTCTTTTCATGAACTGTGTTTTTCCCCCTTGTATGTCTTCACTAGGAAGCTTCGGTGGTGGTCAGACCATGACTGTGACCGGCACCGGGTTTAATCCACAAACCTCAACTATATTGGTGTGTGGCTCAGAATGTGCAGTTGACAGGCTTAAATCTGATCGCACAACACTATTATGTAAAATTCCACGTAACGATGGTGAGTAGTCAGGAAAAAGAATGGCAGTGATTAATGTTAAAGAAATCAGAGTCTGAATTTCTTCTTCCAAGTTTTTGTGTTTTGGGGGGGCAATTGAATCACCTTTATGACTACCTTGATTTTATTTTATTTTTTATTTTTTTTAAGTTTTTAAGTTTTCCCTTGAAAGCCATAGGTATTTTTCTATTACACTATATATCAAAAATTAAAGAGAGAAATTAAAAATTTTTTTATTAAAGCCTGAAGAGTTTTTTTATTTTATTTTATTATGTTATGTTTTTAACAATTTCTTTAGAACTTTGTTTTCTAGGTTTATATGTCTTTCAAGATTCATAACATTTGGCTAGGTTGAATTGTTTATAATAAATTGCAGTTTTTCAGTTTATTACATAAACGGAGCATGCCAAATGGAGAATGCATTTTTAATTCCTATTGAACAATTAGTTTCCATTAAAGATAGGAGAGTATAATGGTCATGAGTGTAAACCCTGCTAATGCATGGCCAAGATTCAGACCCAAGCTGTGTCTTTGGACGGGTTATTCAATCTCTCTGTGCCTCAGTGTTTCCTCATCTGGAAAGTGAAATAACTTTCGCCTACTTTATAGGATTATTGTGACGTTTAATAAGCTAATGTATGTGAAGTGGATGGAATGCTATCTGAAATAGGATATGTGATTTGCTGTTGTTATTACTATTACTCTTATTATTTAGTGGATAAAGAGCCCAGGCTCTCAGGAGCCCTAAATCTCATTTTGCCACTTACTATGTCATCTCACTAAGTAACTAAACTCCTCTGTTTCAGTTTGTCCACCTATTAAATGGAGATATTATTAACCCTAATTCTTGGGTTATTGTGAAGTTTAACTATCTGACATTTTAAGTATACAACAAATTTTAATTACCCAATGAAATTTAAGAAGAACGAAAAGGAATGCTCTAGGTGAATAAAAGATATGGTTTATATGCATTTTTAAACCAAATTTGATGAAGCTTTTCTAAACATTTTTACTTCTTTTCTGACTTTTTAAAAAAAGATTCCATTTATTCATTGGAGAGAGAGAGAGAGAGCATGAGCGGTGGGTGGGGGGCAGAAGGAGAGGGGAAGGGAGAAGCAGGCGAGCAGGGAGCCTGTTGCGGGGCTCCATCCCAGGACCCCGAGATCATGACCTGAGCCAAAGGCAGCTGCTTAACCAACTGAGCCACCCAGGCACCCCTCTTTTCTGGCTTCTTAAACAAAGAATATTGAAGAAAATATAACATTTTTGTGAATGAACTCATTTATCATTTGAACGTCAGTTTATATGCTGATTTTTTAAAGAAAGGCAGCAGTGCTGTCAAGATTTGTCAAGGTTTTTGAGTTGTCTTAACACCAGCTCTGCTTCTTCTTTGGACACTTTTGTACTGAGTGTCTGTGTTTTTTCTGTCTCTTACCTCGCTTCCAGCTGTCACGCCTTGCCGCAATCCACGCGCGTGCCTTAGCAGTTCTTCCTCCTTCCCTGCTCTGATTTGCAATGTTGGATCCTCTGGGGCTGGAACCCTACACAGGGAAGTTTGCAGAATTGTCTGCAATAAGAGGCTCCTAGGAAGGTTCTAAGGGTTTTTTCCCTTTGATCATGTGCATGAACTTTGTGATGTTTTTGGCTATTGCTAGAGATCCTTATTACTTGACATATAGCCTGTGTATATTGGAAGTGATTTCAGGAAAAGGAAGATGTTATGGAAAATGTTTGGGGGTTTGGGGAATGAATAAAGACCTGATGGCAGAACTGTCCTCAGTTTGAGCCTCTTCTCCTAGGCAGAGGACCTGAGCAAGCCTGTGAAGTGAGTGTGGTCAATGGGAAGGATTTGTCACAGTCCACGACTCCTTTTACGTATACCATGTTACTGACTCCACTCATCGCCGAAATATATCCCAAGAGAGGCAGTACAGCAGGGGGCACGAGACTTACAATCACAGGATCAGGCTTCAGGTACTGTCTTCACACACACATACATCAGTGCGTATATGCAGGCTCACGCCATTACTCCTTGCACATTTCTCATGTGCAAGAACAGTGCTTAAATATAGTCATGTAATGTGTACCCATCTGCTCAAAAGTCATGCTTGAGGCACATCGTAGGACTAATAGCTAACATTTATCGAAGATTTACTCTGTGTCAGGCACCTTCTTACCCCATGGAAACTTCCTGCCTTACCCTCTTAGATATTTTTATTCCATTTTATGGTTAGGAGACTGAAATTAGAGAGGTTAAATAACTTGCCCCAAATCCTAGTCAGATCCCAAGGATATATCACATCTTGTTATGCTTCCCTCACCATCTCATCACCAACCTTGATCTGCTTCATTGGGTCAATGAAACATGTCTTCATACATCACATCCATTTCATTGTAACTGGCCAGATTCCTTCTTCCTAAACATATTCATTATTTGGCTCAAATTTATGTACTGCACTGTCATCATTCTTCAAGTGGGTAAGGCTGACTTCAAAACCCCAGATCATTTAAATCATAGGAGGCAATTTTAATTCCACAAGTACATAATTTCTCAAGACCTTGGACTTGCATTTTTACGTGGATATTAAATTCTAAAGTCTTTGAATGTGGTGAGAATATCACATAAACAAAAGGATCCCTGAAAGTCGCTTACAAAAGTAGCTGTTTAGAGACTAACAAAAAATCTCTCAATAAATTGAACCTGGGCAGTTTTCCTCCAACATTGGAATGCCTGCTAATTTGTACAGTTTTATTTCCTGGCTTCTTAATCTTTGTTTACTTTTTTCTCAACGAATATTTTGAAGTCTTAGTACTGAAAAAGTATCAGTCTGCCTTTGATGGATCATAGAGTAAGGTTATTATTTTTGCAATAAGGCATATCAGTAATAGTGTTTGACAATGTGACGTAGAAATCTGAGAAAAAACCATCAGTGTTTTGTTTTCCCCCTTTTTTCTTCACAGTGAAAATATGCAAGATGTTCTCATCACCATAGCCGAAGCCAAATGTGATGTTGAGTATTCCAACAAGACATATATCATCTGTATGACAAATGCCCACACCTCTTCAGGGTGGGCTCCAGTGTGTGTCAACATCAGAAGCATTGGCATGGCCAGACTGGTAAAAGTGCTGTTGGGTATAGTAATCACAGCAATAGAAAAATGGGGGGGGGGGAGGAAAAATAGAAAAGCATTATGGGAGATTAAGTAATTGGTAATGGACTTTTTACTTTGTTAATGTCTCCAAAAAATAACTGAGATGTAACTATACTAAATTTAAAGTTATATGTTTTTGTTGCTTATTAGTAACATTTTAAGATTTCAGGTTTTGAGTTATTCTGGATTGTGGTGTAATCGGTAATTGATTTTTCACTTTATTATTATTGTGAAATAAACCAACAGGCAGCTATAACATTTAAAGTAGATTATACTTTATTACTAATGAAAATGTTTACTTGTTTAGATTTCTTCATTTTGAGAAATTGAATGAAGAATTCTGATAAAAACTCTCAATTTAAAAGTCTCTCATGTTTTATTGCAGGATGATTCTGACTTCCTGTATATTGATGTTTGGTCCTCCAACTTCTCATGGGGAGGAAAATCTCCCCCAGAGGAAGGGTCTCTAGTTGTTATTACAAAAGGACAGACAATTTTGCTGGATCAAAATACACCTATTCTGAAAATGTTGCTTATTCAGGGTAAATTTCTGAAAGTCTGCTTATTATATTCTGTCTATGGTATATTTTTGTGAAGTAAATTTAACTAAATGTTCATGATTATGAACATCCATAGTGGTATGAGGTTTTGAATGCAATGTGTAGTACTGTGTTCTTTAAATTGAGCATCAGAATCTGTTTGCGGTATGCAATTATTTAATGTGTTGTGAGCAGAATCTTTTAAGGAAATAGAAAAGAAAATATCAGAGTGTCTTGCATTTTTGTGGGTAAGCATCTTTTAAAGTTAAATGTTTTATGAAACTTTTGTTTTAATAATAATGTGTGTATGTGTATCCACATATGCATACGCACTTGCAATGGATCATAACAGTGAAAAGTATTTCCCGTTTAGGAAAAGACTGGTATAGTGGGTCCCAGAGGTTATAAAATCATAGAGACTTGCTAAATTCTATACTAAATGACCCTCAGACTCCCATTGGATGCCAGTTGTGATTCTCACCTTTGCCTTTGAACATACTCTCATTGTACTTGGGGTTCTCTCTGCTTCTTGATATTCTGTTACTACTATAGAAGACTAAATAACTCTTATAACTGCATGTAAAAGCAATAATGATTGGCAAGAGTAAAATGCTTTGGGCTTTCGTGTATAAACTTTGCCATAATGGTTTTAGCTGCTCAAAGACCTTTATATTTTGTTTTTGTTTTAACTTCTGGGTTAACAGTAGTGTTTCAGTTGTTTGAAGTTATTATCTGTTGGACTTTTGGACAAGTACAGTTTTACTGTTCACAAATTTGCATCAGTCTCATAAGAATGTATCTTAGCACATTCTTTAAAAATGCCAGTCAAGCTATAGGTGTTGCTAGTGCATATTAGTGGATGGAAAGTTCAGAGGTAATGTCAGCATTATAACAATTTGTATAAAAAGTGCTTTTCTTTCATTTTAATTGTTTTTGTTCTTAATTTATATTTGGAGGCCCTGTGTTTATAGAACTTTAATTCTATGTAGCTGTACTCTTTAAAAGCATTGAAAATAACAATGATCAAGGGAAAATAATGTGCCTAGACATTTAATTTTCTATTAACTCCTGGGTCTTGTCTGAAGTTTTTATACTTTATGTTGCCAAAGAGCTGAAGTTAAGTGACATACAAAATGATATCAGATAAGAATAAGAATTTAAATTTGTATGTGTAATTTAACAAATAGCATTTAATGATAATTTCCCTTGTGTTGTATTTGAAAATTGTATGGTTCATAGGTGGGACTCTAATATTTGATGAAGCTGACATTGAACTGCAGGCAGAAAATATTCTAATTACGGATGGAGGCATTCTTCAGGTATACAAGAGAACCTAATATATAATCATCGCTGACCTCTCTCCATTTCTTTGTAAAATACCATGTGTAAAATGGTTAGGTAATTATAACAGATGCTCATAAGTTCCTCTTTATGTAGGTCTCTGTTATCAGTCTAAAATCCTTTTTTCTGGGGAAAATTTTCCAGAGTATTCTTGTGCTTTTTTTTTTTTTAATATTTTATTTATTTATTTGACAGAGAGAGTATTCTTGTGCTTTTAATGGAAGGATAATAGTGAATTATCGTAGAGCAGAATTTTAAATAGCACAGAAAAAAAATTGCTCAGAGATATGGCTAAAGTCAATCAGTATTGTTTCCAAAGATCTGACATAGTGTACTTGGCTGCCTAGAAAATTTAAGGTTTATCTTTCATAAGAAAGATACTGATAACTGAACAATGGGTTTCTCAAAAGAAAGGATGACTTTTGAGTGTTTAGAATTGTGGATATTGAGTTTTAACTTTTGAATGATGCTTGTGAAATGCCTTGCAGATTGGGACGGAAGCATCCCCATTTCAACACAGGGCAGTCATTACTTTGCATGGACACCTGCGATCTCCCGAGCTCCCAGTATATGGCGCCAAAACTCTGGCCGTGCGAGAGGGAATCCTGGATCTGCATGGTAGGGCAGCCAAAAGGGCTCAGGGAACTGGTACAGGAGATACTAGCCAGAAAACCAGAGATAATTCTCCTGATTATCCTCTCTAAATGAAACCTTGCCAGGCCTCTCCTGTCTTTATGTATACCCTCTTTATCTCTGGCCTCCACTTATCCAAGGCGGGTCAGCCCCTCAGAGTACCAAGACTCACAACCGAGGTCACTCCTGGCAAAGCCCTTCTGGGTCTTCTCTACACCCTTCTGCTTATTCCTTTCCACGTGTTCCCATAACAGCTTTTGCCTATTTTAGCACTTTGTACATAGTGATCGTTTACTGCATCCGTTTATCTATATAAAAGGGCAGTAAGTCTGGAAGCAGAAGACTGTAACTTCTTATATTTGTATTTTAAAATAGGCTCTTTCTAAAGTATAACTATAAGTTTACAGTTGTACTTTTATATAACTATATTCTGGAAATGCATCAGCAAATAAAAACGACTATGGTCATGTTTGAGGTATCAGGGTTACTTATTTAAAGGAAGCATGGTGTGAATCCTTTTTACATAAAAGTCTTCTGTATTGCAATAATCTGTTTCTTTTATAAATTTAGAATGTATAAACGTCCCTATTATGATGATAACTGTTGCCCTGCGTTATGCTAAATAATATCCTAATATAATTTTCAGAAATTTTCACATTTCATTTATCTCCAGATTACCAATTTAAGTGATTTCTATCAACAGTGGCAAAGATAATAGGCCTCTGCCCCTTGCAGCAACAGTATCACCACCACGTTTATATTGTGTTCCTATAAAGAAGATTGTTTTAAATGAATCATGGAACACTTCATCTAAAACTAATGATGTAATGTATGGGGATTAACATAAGAATAAAAAAAATAAAAATAAATAAATAAAT